TATATCAAAATCAAAAAAAAAAAAAATTGATATGGAGCCGTCTGAATAAGAACTTTTTCTGCCTCCTTGGTTCCAAATTCTTGATCTATAACCAAATCCATACCATCATCCCGTGGCTGATTGACACCATCAAGCATCTCAATGTCTTCGTGAAAAGTGAGCACACCACCAGTAGCATCTTCATCGCCAGCCTCTATACCCTCTCTATCAGATACACCGACATAGACATCAGTTTCATCATTCTTAGTATTGTCTTCATCACCAGCCTCTATAGCCTCTCTATCAGATAGACTGACATAGACATCATTTTCATCATCCTCTTCTGATAGTTGTACTTCTTCTTTGATAAACTCCACATGTAGAACACTTCTACACTTCTCATAATTTACTTGCAGTAGATAACCAAAAACGTCTTCATTCTTCCAGATATATGATGGCTTGTACGAATACAATACCATTGGAAAATATCTAATCTTTACTTCCAACCTTAGATTCATATACATTTATCTTTCTGCAAATACGCTCAACCAAACCAGAGTAAGTGAACTCCTCCACAGATTTCTTCAACACAATCGTGTGAATTTCATCTTCTCCTTCACCATCTCCCGAGATCCATTTTATTTCAGCTCCATCCTTCATAAAATATCCCCCATAATCAAAACAAATGATTGTGCAATGCGGATTTTGCATTTTTCCTGAAATATAATAGTATTATCATTAGAATTATTACTATTAAGAAATAAAAATTAGTTCTAACATCATATATCCTTCTATTACTAATATTAATTCATTTCACTACTACTATATATTATAGTAATACCAATAATACTAGTCGTACTTCTCTACATAGTAATATCAGTAATACTAGTAAAACTAAATGGTCATAGTAATACAGTTACCTTAGTAGTACCTAGAAATTTTCATTTTAAGAACTAATCTAGTTTTTATAACGACATTATTCTGATTATACCGGATTTGCACCTTATACCACTTCCATCATACTTACGGCCATTTCAAAATGCTATTAGACTACAGAACTACACAGTCACCCATAAACAAAGTTAAAAAACAAAATTCTTCAACAAAGTTTTAACCTAAATATATTTTTGCCCTTTTTGTTTTCAATCTCTCTCTCTCTCTATATATATATATATAGTTTTACATTATTTACATACCCATAATATATGCTTCATTTTAATGATATTGTACACAAAATTTCATCAAAAACGGATAGAAAATGAACCTAAAACTAAAAAATACAATTATGAAAAAAAAGTTTTTAGAACTCTAGAATTTTACATCAAATCTTATATTTTTACTACCCATGATAGAAAATTCATTTTTAATGATATTCACACAAAAATCATCAAATACGAATAAAAATTACCTTCGTAAATGGAGGATGAGAGTTTCAAAAATGAGAGGAAGAAGAAAGATAGTGGTTGGGAGAATAATTTAATTGATTAAGATTGTTTTTGGGGTCCACCGATATAAAGGAAATGTTAAATTGAGAAATACAATGATAAAATGGTAGTGAGAATTGAGAAGGGTAGTGAGAATAGTTTGAGGGGGGGGGGGGATATGGAGCATTTAGAGTTAATCTCCCTTTAAAGTTGATGGATTCATAGTTCAAACTGAGTGAAACCAAAATGTTACATAAGTAGAAAAACTGTAGGAGTGGCGTTTAGTCATCTGAAGACCTAAGACTTAATCATATTGATTAGTAAATACTTTCTTTTAAGATCGCTTCAACAAGCACCAAAGTCATAAAAAGTAAAAAACGACTAAAAACAAAAGTTGTACTCCCTCCGTTTCATTTTAATTGTCATTCTACGTTTTTTACACAGATTAAGGAAACATTTAATTTTACATATTTTCAAGAAAAAAAAACACAATTACCTATACACCTAACCACTTTTCAACCAATAGAAAAATATAATATCATATAAAACTAATAAATTTTGTCTCGAAACTCTAAAATGACACTTATTTTGAAACGAAATTTTTCCTCCAAAATGACAATTAATTCGTAACGGAGGGAGTATTAAATATAATTTAAACCAGCACGCGACTTGAAAAAGACGTTTAGAGAAGTATATTGAGTGTTTCGTTTTGGGAAGGATTGATTTATCATGGAACAAGTCCAAATAAAGAAGAAGAGCCGAGAGGGAAGAAATCACTTGGATGGCGATGGCCTTTGGCAGCTTTGGTTGTCTTGTTCTTGGCAGTGGCTGCGAATTCCAAGATCGGTCTCTTCCGCAGCGATCAATATTCTTTAAGCTTTCGACATCAGGTTATAACTCTTAGATAAAAAGTGTCCCACATCGAAAGTTGGAAGTGATATTAACTAGTATATAAGATAGATGAGCCAATCCACTTATCACCAATTAGTTTTAGGTTGGAAATTAATCTAGCTTAACATGGTATCAGAGCCCTTAATCCACAAAGTCCAACCCGATCCTCGTCGATCTGGCCTAAAGATGGCTCATCGATCCTTCCCGAATATTCCAAGATTGATGCTCAAAGAACTATCATCTCGAGAGGGTGTATTAGACACAAAGTGTCCCACATCAAAAGTTGGAAGTGATATTAACTAGTATATAAGATAGATGGGCCAATCCACTTATCACCAATTTGGTTTAGGATGGAAGCCCATCTAGCTTAACAATAACTACTTTCGGCTTATAATTCCCATAAGTTTTGCCATGATCCGTCTCATTGTCGTGGGTTGAATTTTTCTCTCAGGCTTTAACTGATACGTTTATCGAACCTTTACTTGATTTTAAAGTTGATTTAACAAAGAGGTTTAGTGAATATGTTATTTCCAGAATTGTTTAACATTTTTTGAGTAATCGTGGAAATTTTATTTGTTAATAGTTAAAATATAATCTATTTATGAAAAATATAACATTTGATCATTGAAGAAGAAAGTCTTGATTATCGGTTTGTGATGTTTTATGGATACGTCATGGTATAACAAATTTTTTTGTATCTTTCCATAATTATTGTATTTTTGTTGACACGTGTTCAAAGGGGGTGGGGGCAGGCCCGTCTCATCTCTTTGTTGGCCTAGTGTATATTTGAATGTTATAAGAAGAATATAAAATTTTGGAGTCCCTGATTTATTTTGAAAGGACTTTAAAGTTTAAGTAAAAAATTGCAAATTTTGTTGGGCCATATGCATAAGCACCTTGAGCACATGCCAAAAACCGGGGGGTGGGGGTGTAAAATAACTTATTAAGTCGTTTTTGTTGTATCAATTCATATATATACATGCAAAATGTGATTGTTGGTGATATTTTAAGTATGAACTCATATTGATCAGTATTATTAGACTCTTTTCTGTTTTTTTTTCTTCTTTTGATTTTCTATTTGACATTAATTGATAAGTGCTTGAAAAAACGTATTCTGGAGGCAAGGAAAGGTGTTCGACTCATTTCATTACGATTTCATTTTTTTTTTGCTGGCCATTGTGGATTCCTTAGATGGAAAAAATTTGAAGAATTCAAAACTGATTCTAGTGACACTTCCTGAGATTAATTATTCAACTAGGCTATGTTTCTTTTGTTACTAAAAGGTCGCAGAAAAAGCTCAAGGTACCACCAGAAGAGATTAGGAAATGGCGAAACAGTCCTCCATCATCTTATAGCGTGAAACAGTCCTCCATCATCTTATAGCGTTAAGTTCGAGTCTTTCACAACCATGATGTATCTAGTCAAGGATGGATACTACGAGTCCCATCCTTTCACTGTTGGTGAATTCAATTGCTAAATTCACTCTCATCAAATTCAACTAATTTGGTAGCTTATAGGTGTGTTTAATTATGACCTATTTTGGCTTTAACAAATAAAAGGACGTTCCAGGGAAATGGATGGACTATAATTCCATAATTCCATGGAGTTTTCTCCTCATTCTTGGCCTGTTGAAAATCTAAGAGACCCATATTGAAGTCCATGAGATGGTTTGTGTTGGAACGTTTCTTTGTTGGCCTTGAAACTACTTCTAAACTCGGATACTCGCAGATGGACGGGGTGGAAAACTTCCGGTTTGGAAAATTCATATCATTCTGGCCCTGATAGCTTTCTGGATAATTCAACTTGGAGATTGAATATTTTGAGTGTAGAGTCTATGAAAATTGGTTTTATGGTTAAGTCCCTTCTGGTTGGAAAGATATGGTATTTTTCGTGCACATATATCCTCTGTTTGGCACCTCAGCTGGTTGAGTAGGGTGTTGGCTCCATCTGCTGATTCGATGGCCGCATCACCGAACCCTAGATCCGATGTGGTAAAAGTGACCCAACTTTTAATAACCTTAACCTAATATCTACTTCAGGTGTATGGTAATTTTTGGGTGTAAAATTTGGTATAAAGTAAATTTAATCCATATTATCCCCGAAATTTATAAAACAGATCCAAAAACTATAAGTAACCGATCCAAAAACATGAAAAATACAATAAATACGTAAAGACTAAAAACTACAAAGAAACCAACCCAAAAACAGAAAAGATCCAAAACACCTAAAAGATCCAAAAATTACAAAGAAAGAAAACATGAAAAAAAACACGAAAATGACTCATAAGACCTGAAAACCGAATTGAAAATCTTTTGTATCCAAATGTTGCAGTTCTTTTACAGGTATAGGTAATGTATATTCGAACCGACTTGGATCCAAGAGAACCTTGACCGGGAACCGACCGAAATTTTTCTAAGTACCCAATTGGGTTCAAATATCTAGAACCCGAATTCTAAAGGATCCGATCGTGACCCGAAGATTCGAACGGCAGAAGAAAAAGATAGGATTTAGTAACGGAAAGGAGAAAAAGATTAAGCTTCGGCCCATTTCTAAACCTTTTTGGGCCATAATGATCCATAGGTCCTCAAATTTAAAGTTCTCTGGGCCCACTCATTGGTCCCGGAATCTGTGGACGCCCAAAGTGCACTTTCTTCTAGCATAGCTTTGTCGTGTGTCTACTGTACATGGTTCGCTGGAGTCTCTTTCATGGCGAAAATAGCACAAGTAGTGATGCCTGAAGGGTCACGTTACCAGCTTCTCCTCTCATGTCCTTCCGGCCTCTCTCTATCTCAGGTTTTCTCTCGCCACTATTAATTGAATACTCTCTCTCTCAGAGTTTTTTTCATTATCAAACTGTCTTGGTTGTTTCGATGCTAAAGGTCTCGGTGGATTTCTCGAAATCTCATGATCGGATTCAACATCCCGATCACGATCTTGAAGATTCTATTGGGCAGGTGAGAGGAACCAGAAACTCTGATCAGATCTCTTAATGTAATGTGAAGTAGAAACTCTGGCTGGATCTCATGTCTATGAGTGTTTTGATGTGATGAGTTGATTAAATGGTGCGTGTCCTTTGCAATTTTAGGCTTGGGAGCAGAGAACACAGGGAAATTCAGCATTGTTTAATGGCCAAAAATTCAGAGTAAGAATGATCAAGATGCTTTTGTCTTTGATTTGTTCAATAAGCTTTACTTACTCCTAGTTAAAATTTTCAGTTTGGATCATTATGTTTAGATGGTGATGCTGGTACCGACGAAGTGTCACACGTCTGCCTTCGCCTTGGCCTGACAGATTACAGGTTTCTCATTTATATCTCTCTCTCCCTCTTTTTTTTTTTTTGTTTTTGAATTGTTTGCATTGGACTAGACCGCTAATTTATCGATTTCTGGTATTAACATTCATTGGTTTATTGGACATGGTTTTCAAGGACTTTTGTAGGAACGAATTTGAGCTCTCAGTGGGAGAAGTTCCTTGTTACATCACAAGGTACAAACACATACCAACCTTTGACATGGTTTTTGTTATCATTCTCTAGTTTATCGCAATAGATACATTTTTGTTCTCTCTCACAGATGACTGTGTAAGATGTCGACATACCTCAAGTCCATTGGGTAATGCCGCGGTTATTGAGACTTCTGACCAGAAGATTATTGTGTTACGTCGGAGTGATAATGTTGGGGAATTTCCAGGTCACTACGTATTTCCTGGTGGCCATCCAGAGGTATTTAAGCATACATATACAACTATTGTCTCCGTTCCTAACTCTTATGACTTCTTAACTTTCCAGCCAATGGCAGTAGGAATTGATTCTCACCAGCTTGAAAAAGATGGAGAGGTTTTAAAAAAGAAGGTAACTCAAGAAATGTTTGATAGCATTACTCGTGAAGTTGTGGAAGAAACTGGGATACCATCATCATCTCTTGTAAGACAGTAGGGTTTGTGTTTGTTTTGTCTCCTTGATGAATATTCGGAAACTATCTGATCCGTCCTTTATACAATTACAGAGCACTCCTCTCTTTATTGGAATATCTCGGAGGGAGTTGAATGTGAGGCCAGCTATGTTTTTCTTCATCAAGTGTAGTCACCATTCAGATGACATTCCGAGACTATACTCTAGTGCTGAAGATGGGTTTGAGTCAACACAGCTCCACACTGTCGCTTTGGTTAGTTGAAGTTCTCCAATGCATAAAACAGACATTCAATAAACAAAATAGAGAACAATCGTTTTACAGTCTAAAATGCTTTGTTCCCATCAACAATAACTTTAGTTTCTCTTTATACTAATCGATCAGGAGGAGCTGAAGACAATGGCATCAAGAATGCCAGGCTGCCACCATGGTGGCTTTGCGCTTTACGAACTGATGCTTCAACGTCTCCAGAGCACTAATGGAACGCCTTTAACATCAACCTAATAGGAAGGAACTTGAACTTATTATGTTTCTATGTTGGATAAATTCATTCTGTAACTGATCTGTTATTTGACACTATAGTAATGGTTTAATTCATTATGATGACTTGATGAGTAAACTAATATATATACGAGGATAGATACCATTTGTATCAAAGGTAAGATGGTTGGCTGTTCATAAAACTAACCAAACGAAATTCTTGCATTTCATTTTGATTTGACAAATTGACCACAAGGGTTCATAGAAGCTACAACAAGGATAACAAAATCGTTCAATATCTCACGCAAACCACTAAGGATTCATGCTTCTAACCGGCTTTTGATGAAGGTCCCTGGCTTTGTTGGAAGTGCTTCCTAAAAAATGCAGATAAACTAGCCGTAGCAGCACGACCGTTCTCTACACAGAGGAAGTAATCATCCACTGAAATAAAACAACAAAAGCAAAATATTAAGAGTCATATATGCGGTGATTGAGAAACGAACTCTAAACCACATAGAAATTAGCATAGTGAATTCTATTCAAGAGAAGTTTAGAGCAAGTACCTGACATGACTCCATGCGTGACTGATGTAATGATCCCATGCTCGACTGGCTCGCCTTCCACTTCCGGAAGAACCGAGAGAGTTGTATTTGGAAAGACTAAATAAGCGAAAGCCGTCATTTTCTGTCCATTGTAGTTCAAGTAAGTTTAATCATTACACAATAAGAAAAGTAATGGGAAAACAAGGTTTGATAATTAAAACCTTTTCTTCGAGCTTGTTTGGATCGAGTACAACATATCCATTACCAGCCAGGCAACAACATATAGCAACTGAGAAATAAATAAAAATGTCGATGAAGCAATACCAAGAAGCAGACAAAAAGTGAATTAGAGAGGAGCATAAAGATGTACCAGCAAGATGCTTCATCGGAATTCCTGCGTCTACAAGAGCTGCACATGCTGCGTTTATAGCACACGGTAGAAGCTAAAACAAATTCGGAATTAAGGAAACAAGAAACATAAATGTCTTCATTTCAAATCAATGCACAGAATTATTTTACTATAAACATAGTATTCACCATCCCAGATTATGGAATTAAAAGCTTTCACTATATAAATAAATTCTCATACTGAATCAAATGTGGTTGAGACAACATTAGTAGATGGCTAGTGAGCACTATAAAAAGGATACAGAACCATCATCATGTACAACCTGCACAACAAAGCAAATAATTAAAACATCGAACACAACACAAAGTTGATTTTTCATACAAGACAGGACATTCATATTACAAGAGTATTGAAATGAGTTGCTCACCTGAACTATCACAGACGTTGTGGTATTTGGGTTCACGGTCAAGACACAAATACTCTGTATTGTCCTTTTCAGTATCATCTCAAACTCCTTTTCGGCTTTTCCTACAAACACACACAAAAGTTAAATAATCAGACAGAAACACACCAAAGGAAAGCAATAGAAATGATCAAACTAAAAGCAATTTATTATATACCAATCTGCCCTGATTTAGGCTTCCATATGACTTCAAAACAAGCCTTCTCAGGGTTCTCGTTTTTCCTTGTTCCCGGTTTAGGTCCATAAACTGCAGCTAGAACTTTTGTGTCCCCTAATATAGAGAAACAATACCCATTAGAAAAGAGTATAAGATGTTGGAGAAACTGTGAAAGCTAGTTATATATATATATATGTATGTAACAGAACAAATTACCTTGGGACCAGCTAGCAGAGCCATGAGGACGATGGAGGATGTTACGGGAACAAGCAAGAGGTCTAAGTTGATTCGGCGTTCTCCCATCTTCTCTGTCAATCTCCATTGCTTCAATACTTAACTACACAACAAGAGTTTTAATAAGAATACTGAAAAATAAGAACAACACTAGTAAAAAAAAAGCATGATTTTTATCGTTCTGAGTAGGCTTCTTGTTTAGTGAAACAAAAACTCGTTCGTTCAACTATACAGTAGTGGTTAGGTCGCAGATAAAGAAAAGGAACAGAGATAGATGAAGAGACGATTCTATGAAACAGTGAAAGTCATAAAATTTGCACCTCAAATTAGACGGAGCTGGAAGAAGTGAAGACAGAAACCGTCGTCGACGAACTAACCAGAGGAGAGAAAGAAGAAGGAACGTTGGTGCAGAAAGATTAGGGCTTTCCTCGGTTGGTTAAGTTTCAATCAATTTAAAATGTCTTAGCTTTGTATCGTAAACCGACAGGTCCGGTTATTAAAAATACCGGTTTAATGAGTAAACACGCTGGGAAAATAAATACTTGAAGAAAACCAAGTTTGAGTAACTGCCGGAGAAATCCTTCATTTTGATCTGGGTCTGGAGGTTGGGAAAAAGATGGATGAAGAGTTATTGGAATTGCAGCGACAGTTCGAGTTCGCTCAGCAGGTGAAGTCAAGCGTCAGATTATCCGATCGAAACGTCGTCGAATTGGTTCAGAAGCTTCAGGAGCTTCGCGTCATCGACTTCGATCTCCTCCACACCGTCACCGGAAAAGAATACATCACTCAGGTACATATTCATGAATTATCCGCTTGTTGCATGATGAAGTTAATAGAAAGATGAAGTCAAATTGCTTGATCGATTACTACGTGTTTGTTTGTTGTCGCAGGAGCAATTGAAGAATGAAATCGCTAGCGAGATCAGTAAACTGGGTCGTGTGTCCGTTATCGATCTGGCGGATACGATTGGGGTTGATTTGTATCATGTGGAGAAGCAAGCGCAAGATGTGGTGTTGAGTGATCCAGGGCTAATGCTTGTCCAGGGAGAGATCATATCACAAACCTATTGGGACTCAATCGCTGAAGAGATCAACGAGAGGCTCCAAGAATGCAGCCAAATCTCTGTCGCCGAGCTTGCTGGTCAGTTACAGGTTGGCTCTGAGTTGGTGCAGTCCGTTTTAGAGCCTCGCCTTGGAACTTTGGTAATGCCAAATCTTTTCCTCTCTGCTCTCTTCCATATGAATTCCAGATGATTGTGTTTATCATTTTTTTTTTTGATCTTTAGGTGAAAGCAAGGCTAGAAGGTGGACAGTTATATACACCTGCTTATGTTGCACGTGTTACCGCTATGGTTCGAGGTGCTTCCAGGGGTATCTTTGTTCCTTCCAATTTGTCTGCGTTGTGGACGCCCTTGCAACAGTTGGTTCAAGAGATGAATGGAGCTAGCGGAGTCGCTGTTGAGAATTCTTTTTTTCAGTCTATATTCAACCGCCTGTTGAAGGAAGAGGAGATGCTTGGATCACTACGTGCTGGCACCCATTGGACTCCTACTGTATGTCCTACAATTCTAATCTTTTTGGATGTCATCAGAGGATTCTTGCTCCTTCGTTCTGTTTCCCATGTTTAAATACTATTCATTAGATTATTAACTTTGCAGTTTAATTTTTGAGACAGGTTTTTGCAGTTGCTCAAAAGGAATGCGTAGACTCTTTCTTCTCACAGGTTTTCTCATAATTCTCTATGAAATGTCCTTATGTATTACTCCGTTTATTAGTTAGCTGGATGCGAAAAAGAATTAAATTAGAACTTCATCAGACTGCAGTTATAGCATGTTCTGTAAATTATTTTTTCCTTGAGCGGTTTGATTGTTTATTTTCTTCCGTTTTCCTGCAGAATTCCTATATTCCCTATGAGACGATGCAGAAGCTTGGCATTTCTCAAGCCGTGCAGTTCTTACAGGTAATTGTATCATGTTAGTTTAGCTTAATTTTCTGTAGTTTATGAAATGGTAACTAGAATGCGTGTTATGAACTCAATGCTGCCTCTTTCATTTTCATCTCATTATGACTTTGTGCTATGGGACATGTATAGTCTAGATACCCAGATGGTAAACCTTTAGCTGCTGTGTTTATTCATTCCTCGATGATTGAGATGCTGGATTCAACAACAGAGGACGCTATTGAACAAGATAGCTGGTGAGGCTTATTTCCCGTAGTTTTTTCCCCTCTCTCTATAGTGTTTGTGTGCTTTAATGTGTTAAACTGTCTCAGTTACACTGTTACTAAAACCCTTGATACTCGTATCAGGATCGATTCCCTCTCTGTATTGCCTGCATCATTCACATCACAGGATGCAAACAAGATTCTGCTCCTCTGTCCCTCTGTCCAGTCAGCTCTTAAGGTGGCATTTTGATCAAATTTGATTACTAGTCAATGCTTTTTTGCAATTGAGTGCTGATTTCTCCTTTCAGGCTGAGAAAGCACTTATCCTGGGCGAATCCTATGTCATAAGCAGTGGGTTCATAAAGGTAAACTTATGAAATTAAGGGTATTATTAAGAGTTCCTTTGTCTTTTCCAATTGGTTTTCTCTATCTGAACTACGCTTTATTTGGCCTACTAATGTTCAGGGCATATATGATCAAATTGAGAAAGAGGCAGAAGCTTTTAGTATCCAAGCTTCTACTGCTAGTTTGATAGATCATTCAAGCAAATCTTCAGAGTCGGCAGAAAGTATTCCTGCTAATACAGATAAAGGATCAAAGAAGAAGAAAGGCAAGTCTGCCAGCATGAAGACAGCAACCGTCGAAACTGTTCCAGATGATGAAGAGGACGCCGCCCGTCCTAAATCTAAGAGAAACCAAAAGAAAGGCAGGGATGCATCGTCACAGAAGTTGGATTCAAAAGCAGGAGGCAAGAAAGAGTTGGTAAAGGCGCAGGAAGCTAATAATATTATCCCGCCAGACGAATGGGTGATGAAAAAGATCGTTGACTCAGTTCCTGAGTTTGAAGATGATGGTACATCTCAGAAAGTCTTTCTTTTTGTATGCGTTAAGAATTATGGAGCGATCATCCATGTGACATAAGCTAATTTGGTTTCTGGTAGGAATGGAGAACCCAGATTCAATTCTTAAGCATTTAGCTGATCTTATGAGACCGATGCTCATTAATTCACTGAAGGAGAGAAGAAAGAAGATCTTCACAGAAAATGCAGATAGGATGAAGCGCTTGATAGATGATCTTCAGAAAAAACTTGATGAAGTATAAAACCAACTTTTTCAGCTATAGTTTATCCTTCGACGATCAATGTCTATCCTGTGTTCCTCACTTCATTGGCTTTTGTTTTGGCAGTCGTTCCTAAATATGCAGTTATACGAAAAAGCGCTAGAGCTATTTGAAGATGACCAATCGACTTCAGTAAGTACTTTCAGTCCGTATTGCAAGCCCGCACTTGCTAAATAAAGAGTATAGTGTATCATTTTGTTTTCTTCTGGTCCTAGGTTGTTTTACATAGGCATCTGCTGAGAACAACAGCAGCTACAATTGCTGATACCCTACTTCATGATTTGGTAGGTCAAAAATAAAGTGAAATTCATATGCCATTTTCCTTATGATTTAGCTAATTAAGATGTGATTATCAAAACAGGACATCCTCAACAAATTGAAGAATGGTATTGAGGTTGGAGAGTCCAAAGCTCAAGATCCTGTTTTGCTTGATTCTTCCGAAAGAACGACCCTTGTATGCATATTTGATTAATATTATCTTAATACTTTGTTTTTACACTTTATATTCTAAAGTAATGCTAGCTGATTCTTTTCCTTTTGGGACAGGCTAAAAGTCTCAACGGTTCACTCTCGAAGAAGGCCCTTGCATTAGTTGAGACATTGGAAGGGAAGGTTAGATATTCATTTATGAATTGGTTTACAGTTGCGAATACACCGTCTTGTATTTGAAAAAGTAGTCTACTGTTTCTCTTTCTTGATTCCTTCTGTCCGGTGACTGACCATCTTGATACAGAGTCCGTTAGAGTTTTAAAGGGAGTCAGTAATTGAGACGAATGATATGGATATGAAAATATAGCGAGTGGTTCATATTGAATCTTTATTACTATCTTTGAATGCCTTTTTCACTGCTAACTTTAATCACCTACTAAAGGCGCTATTTAGAGCCTTAGGTTGCACTTTGATTCTCCTCGCGAATACAAACTAAGCTTTATAAATTGGATTATTTGCTTACAGCGTGTAGACGCTTTCATGACCACATTCAGAGACCTGGCAGAGGAAAGGTATACTAATTCTTGTTTATCAAGATATCTCTGACGCAAATCCGTTTAGATTCCACTGGACTTGGACTAAGCGTTAACTTCATTTGTGCAGTGGATTGGTCTTGAAAAAGCTTGACAAGAAACTGGAAAGGACTCTCCTACACGCATACCGCAAGGTGTGTTCAACACCTTATCGTTGTTTCAACATACATATTTAATCTCTTCACTTCTTTCTTCTCTTGACGATTTTCTTTTGTACTTGAAGGATTTGACATCTCAAGTTTCAACCGAATCAGACCCTGTTGCACTTCTCGCCAAAGTTGTCTCCCTCCTTTACATTAAGGTGTTATAAGTCCATGTTTATGTAACTACTATACTCTATGGCTCAATAGTTTGTATTCAAGTAACGGTTGGAAAATTGTTGACAGACTCACAATAAAGCTTTACAAGCCCCAGGTAGAGCTATCGCTGCAGCCATTTCACACTTGAAGGTAAACATTCACTGGTTGGAGATTTAATATAACTTCTTTCTCGATCAGTCAACTCATATTTATAATATGAACATCTAGTTTGAGTGCAAGGGCAGACATGTTTTACAATACGTTGACCTTATTGTAGGATAAACTCGATGAATCTGCGTTCAAAACTTTGAGCGAGTACCACACAGCAACTGTAACTCTACTTGCTCTACTGTCGGCTTCAACCGGGGAGGTTTACATCCTTCTCCTTGTGGACAAAAGTACAACTACTTAAATCTCTATAGTGAATGATCTCTTAAAGCTGTTTGCATTCTCATGTGCAGGAAGACGACTGCTCAGCAGACAGAATCCTCACCAAACGGGAACTCCTCGAGAGTCAAATGCCTGTCCTTAGATCCCTTGTCCTGGGAGACTCACAATCACAACAATCTTAGTCGCAACGAAGTTAGATCTTACAGGTTCCTCAACTGTTGTGTTGGTATACTATACTGAAACGTAGACAGTATGTCTTTTGCTTAATCCAGTTATGACCGGTGTTAGAAGATGTTTATGGTTGCCAGTCGGGAGATTTTATATTTTAAGACACTTCTCTTATTAAGATTTACAGATTTTATATAACTAGATCCATGATTACAAGGAAAGAGAAGAAAGAGAGGAAAGCAGAAAATCACACACCCACACACACTATTTATTTCACATCATCAGCTTATTCGTTTATCTTTTAACATTCGACATGTTACATTCCCTTTAGCCGGAGATGTCAATGGACTTGACCTCGGGCTTCCTCTCAGGCACTTTGGGCACCATAACCGACAACACACCATTCTCCATACTTGCTTTCACTTCATCTATCTTCGCGTTCTCCGGCAACTTAAACCTCCTCATGAACTTCCCACTTGACCTCTCCACACGGTGCCACTTGTCACTCTTCTCTTCATTCTCGCTGCTCCTCTCTCCACTTATCTGAAGTATGTTACCGTCTTCAACCTCCACCTTCACTTCTTCCTTCTTCAGCCCCGGCAAGTCTGCCTTGAACACGTGCGCCTCAGGTGTCTCTCTCCAGTCCACTTTCGCGTTTGTGAACGCTGCCACGTCCTTGGAGGTCGCGTTTGTCATCCCTGAAGGCGTTAGAAACCCTTCGAACGGATCATAAAGGTCTAGCGAGAATGGGTCGAACACGTTTGTTCTTCGGCCACCGAAAAAACTTGGAATTAGAGACATCTTTCTCTTCCTAGATAACTAAGACGCTCTTTCACAAGTTTATTCTCCTTTACGATTTAGTTTTGCTTTCTTTTGTTACTTTGATAGTTCCGAAGCCTGCTTGCGTTTGCGTATATATAGAAAAGAGAGAGCTAAGAGATAAGAGAGAGAATGTTCTGCAAGTTTCTTTAAAAATCACGATTCTTCTTTTCTTTAGTCGGTTGTCAGCGTCGTTACCTGATTTCTCATGTGTGTTCAAGAAGTTTCAATGCACTGCCTGCAATTTCTTTTTTAGACAAGTCGACACCATGTTGGTTACGCACTAAACCTCTTCTCATAGACCCGGGCCCCCCAGTATAGGGCCTTAAGACTGTAAACTATATTACGAAGTTGTATAAGTTTAAAGTTTTTCGAACTAAAAACTGGTTAGACAAGTCGTACCGTGTTGGTTACGCACTAAACTTCTTCTCATAGACCCGGGCCCCAGTATCTAATCTACTAGCGCTGGCCCGGGCTACGCCCGGGTTTTTAGTTGAAATTTTAATTATATACTAGATCTTTACCCACGCAACCGCGCGGATATTACTTTCAATTTTATATACACATGTTATTTTATGAATATATATTTTTAACGTTGAACATATATTTAAATTTTTATATAAATGTATTGTTAGTTTTAAGATGTTCTTATGTATTAAGGGAATGAAAATGGAAATTAAACATGGTTGTTAAGATTTTATTATACAAATAGAAAAGATAAGATTACAACTTTTCTAAGGAAGGATCCATTTTTAAAAAAATCACACATGAAGAGAAATTCTGACTTCTCTTTTAATATAATAGATGTTGTATCTTATTTTGATATATAAATATTATAATCTACTAGGTGATTTTCTCGTGCTCATGCACGGACATGTATATTTATAAAATAAATATACAATAATAATTGATTGATATTTACTTTAATTTTTATATTGATTTATAGTTTGTATGTTTAATTTATATTATAATATTATATTACTTTAATTATATATATAATTTTAGATATGTTATATATTTAGTCTGTTTTATTGTTTTTATGGTCGATTTAGTTATCATTTAGATATATTGGATTCTATTTATTTCTCTGAATTCAACTATTATCTTTTATATTTTAAAATATTAAATTTTTGATTAATTGTCTTATTTGCATTTATGTTGGTTGTTATCTTAGAAATATAAATATATTTAGTAAGATTATATATAACTTAAGATTTTTTTGTGCTTAGAAAGAAAAAAAAATAAAAACTAAAGTTTCTGATTCTAAATTACATACATAAGTAACTGATGAATTTTTATAAGATTTTTGAACACGTATCAATATTTACAATAGTTAACATATTTTATAAATTCTAAATAAATTTATGCTTTGAATTGTTTGGATGGTAAACTGAAATTTATTTTAAATAATTTTAAAAATAAGGATTCTGATTTGCTTAAGTATTTGACTATGGTTATATTAAGTTGCACAAACATAAAAACAAACCGTTCTATAGCTATTAAATTTAAATATGTCGAGAATATGTCGAGGAATAAACGGTTGGAAAAATTTAAATATGTCGAGGAATAAAAATTTTCCGTCAGAATTTCTTCGGAATATTCGGACGAAATTCCGACGGATATTTATAACCGTTCTATAGCTATTAGGAAATTTTAAATATTCTGAGGAAATTCTGACGAATATTATATTTTCGTCAGAATTTCCTCGGAATTGTAGGCAACATTTCATCTATAAATACAAGAACCCTTCATCTTCTTTCATCCACTCAATATTCTCATCCTCTCACTTACTATTTACACGAATTTGGTTCATAAAAAACATGTCTTCTTCAATTTATTATCGTTCGTGGATGGATCAACCTCATTTGGATCCTGACACAAAATTACTTACGAAAGAATACCTAAAGGTATTAGGGAATTCATGGCTGTAATTCAACGACAACCGGAAGCATAAACGAGTATATTAAGATGTCCTTGCTCTACTTGTAAAAATAGAAAAGTTATAAAAGAGTGGATGTTTGGACTCACCTATATTTGAACGGGTTTACATGAAGTTACAAAATTTGGTATCATCACAGGGGAAACTGATTATGAATATGGTAGTACTAGCGAACCTCAGACAACGGATAATTTATAAGAACCAATTAGAACGGATGTAGATTTTGGTGTAGGTCCTGAGCATATGGTATATGATCATTTTAAAGGGGAATAATTACCCAATGCAGAAGCTAGGAGATTTTTTGGTATGTTGCATACATGAAAACAACCTTTGTAGCAAGGTTTCAGAGATGGTCATTCACCTTTATTATCTGCAACAAAATTGATGGGCATTAAAACTAATTATAATTTGGCTGAAGAATGTGTGGATGCGATTGCTGATTTTGTAAAAGATATTCTACCAGAGGATAATCTAGCCCCGGGTTCATACTACGAGGTTCGGAAACTCGTAGCTGGTCTTGGTTTACCGTATCAGGTAATAGATGTATGCATCGATAACTGCATGATATATTGGAGGGTGGATGAGAACCGGGTTACATGCAAATTTTGTGGAAAAGGCTTGTTATAGAGATATGAGTGGAAGAGTTTCAGTGCCATATAAAAGGATGTGGTATTTGCCTCTAACGGAAATGTTGAAGAGGTTGTATCAATCTGAACGCACAGCCCAACCAATGAGATGGCATGCGGAGCATTCGACAGATGGTGAGATTAGACATCCTTCAGATGCAAAAGCATGGAAGCATTTCCAATCAACATATCCAGAATTTGCTTCTGAGAGAAGATATGTCTACCTTGGATTATGTACCGATGGTTTCAGCTCATTTGACAAGCATGGAAGACAGTATTCTCTATGGCTAGTCATTCTTACACCATACAACTTACCGTCAAACTTGTGTTGGCGTCGAGAGTTTTTGTTTCTCTCCATTCTCGTTCCTGGGCCAGAGCATCCTAAGAGATCACTTGATGTGTTTCTTTATCCACTAATATATGAGTTACAACAACTATGGGCTCAAGGTGCAAATACATACGATGTTTCGTGCAAAGAAAACTTTCAAATATGGGTAGTACTTATGTGGACAATAAGTGATTTTCCAGCATATGGTATGTTATCTGGATGAACAACGCATGGAAGGCTATCATGTCCACATTGTCAAGATAACACAGATGCTTTCCAACTAAAACACGGAAGGAAAACGTGTTGGGTTGACTGTCACAGGAGATTCCTACCACCTGATCATCCATATCGTAGGAGTAGGACTTTGTTTACGAAAAACAAGAGGGTGTTTGACAGACCACCCGCGGAAATTTGTGGGGCAGATTTGGTGCAGAAAGGACGCCAGACGTTGGTGGACATGTTCATTATCCAATAGATGATGTTGGAGAACTACATAATTGGCACAAAAAGAGTATTTTCTAGGACCTGCCATACTGGAAGGATCATATGCTGTATATTGAGATGCCATGCATATTGAGAAGAACTTTTTCGACAATCTTATGAAGACGATCCTTAACGTCCAAGGTAAAACGAAAGATAATTTGAAGTCAAGACTAGATTTAATCGATATATGTGATCGTTCCGAACTTCATGTTGATGAGAATGGTAGGGATTCTGCTCCCATATACCGACTGGATGCAGCGGGAAAAGATGCGTTCTTTGATTGGATTACAAACGATGTGAAATTTCCAGACGGTTACGCATCCAATTTAGGTAACTGTGTAGACAGAAACGAAGCAAAGTTTATCAGTTTGAAGAGTCACGACTGCCATGTAAAAATGCAGCGCCTCCTTCTGTTTGTCTTCTCAGAGCTATTACCACGAAAAGTTCATGAAGCAATTGCAGGGATAAGTGCTTTCTTCCGCGATTTATGCTCGAGATCAGTGACTCTATAAGGTATCCAAAATTTGAAAACTAACATAGATGTACTCCAGGGCAACCTAGATAAGATATTTCCCCATCATTTTTTGATTTTATGGAGAATCTCGCTATTCACTTGGCTAGAGAATTGGAACTTGGTGGTCATGTGCAGTATAGATGGATGTATCTTTACGAGCGGTATATGTATCATCTGAAGAAGAAGGTCAAAAATTTAAGTAGGGTCGAAGGTTCAATAGTCGCAAAAATGATCAATGAAGAAACTTCAAACTTTGCTGAGTACTACTTTCCAGCAAAAGTGTAGACAGAAACAGAAGACCTTCTCGTCATGATGATATAGGCGAAAGGGTGATATATTGTGTTTTTGACATAGAATAGGTATTCTCTACTAATGGTTTTAATGGTTTTATCGAGTCTTTCCAGTTGTTTTTAGTCAATACAGGTTGAAGAGTTCCAGAGATGAGGAGAACGATCGTGTGGAAAGAAAAGAGTAGAAAGGAATCTGTTTTGAAGATTTTCTTGATGTGAACAGTCTGGCAAGATGTTCC